CATTAGATCACACAGAGAAAATAAAGTTGGCATCTGTGAAGAGAGAAAGCCAAGCATATGTCTCTCTGCTAACTATACTCAATTAATTGATGTGAGAAAATGTCTTATTCTTTGAGTGGACTTAATTAGACATTTTGAAATTACATACATTTTCATTAGTGATTTATGGATTATTATTTAAGAGAATTTGCTAATGCTATATGGATAGAGGGTAGAGCTGCTTTTTGTAATCTATTTTTCAAACAAAACTGTGATTTGCTGGTGCGAGTATGTGGTTAAAGGTCAGTGCATACTAACTTTTTTTAAATACTGGTACTTACTTTATTCTAAAGTCAATTAAAATCCAATGATTCTCCTGAATCCCATTAAGGATAGTTTTACAGTGACCCTCAGTTCTGCTGTAGATTGTGGTAGTTTTCTTATTTTCTTTTTGTCCAGCTTCAATAAAGAGGTTTTGTTGATATATTTGTTTTTATTGAAATTGTAAGCGCAAAAGTCTTTCATTGAGTGTGAGGAAGAGATTTCACAATTTTCACTAAGCTGTGTTTCTATAACATAAATTGCCATGTGGAATTTGGCCATGCCTGAATGGTAGTGCTGACAATTTGGCCACAGGGTGTGTAAAAACATTTGATACAACTTTGGATCCCCTCATTTTCATCTAAATTGATTTCTACCCAAGAATAACTTCAGTAGCCTATGTTTGAAGAAAATCTGCCTGGTTTGTTATGTTTGTTCTCCAAAACGCTTAAGGACAATTATAGTGACATGCATGCTACTGCATGTACTTTGTCAGCATTGACAGACGAGGCTACGGTTGTATTTTTAGGTTCATATTACATATACTATAATAAATATTTCAGCGACAAACTTTGAAATACTCTGCCCACTCACACATTACAGGGGGAAATATGACTAGTGTCAACTGATTGGCCAGGAACAGGAGGCTGGCACCATTGTGTAATGTCATGCCCAAACACAAAGCCAGTGAAAGGCACCAGAGCCTTGAGATGACGAGAGAGCTCCTTTGTCTTTCCCCCTGGCTTCCTTACAAGATGCAATCAATATTTCAACAGCCGTCAATCCAACTACATGAAGTACTTTGCTCTGAAACTGGACATGAGCGTATTTGAAAACAAGACACACTGATTTGTCCACATGCCCATATCAAGTCAGGTTACTTGAAGATAAATCACTTATCTGATATTGTACCAGGGATATGTAAAGATTGGCCTATTTCCTATAAAGAAAATGTAAGCTATTGATTAAATGTCAGGCAACTGCTGCCCTCCTGCAAACATTTTAAGTATTGTAAGAGGACGCACCAGCTGTTTATGTTGCCAGAAAGAACATAGTTAAAACCAGACCCTAAAAAACTGTTGATTCCTTGATGTGAATATTCTTTGTGAGAATGCCTATAAATAACGGTGCAGAAATGCTTGCAATATATCCGATACAGAAATAATTAATTTAAAGTATTGATTGCCATCTTTATTTTTTATGATTTAATTATAAAATATCCTATTGCTCTTTTTCACAGAAAGGGAATGAATGTATATCATAAATACCAATTAATTTTCAAAGTGAAAACTGGAAGTTTTATCCCATGGCAGAAGGCCAGTTATTCAGAGTCAAGTTAACAAAGAACAAACATCAAAGATGAAGGCAGAACAGCCCAAAAGCAAGTGAAGCCTTGTAGCGCCTGAAACGTGAGCACTGAGGGAGCCTCGCACCAAGGTCCGATTCCCTGCTCTTTTGTCAACAAGGTGCTAAATAATTCTGGAATATTACTACCCCTGCACTCTAACTCTTCCCACCTGGAGAACAGAAGGCACACAGCCAAAGGACAGGACCACCCAAAGTGTCTCGGGCTGTCAATATCACTGGCTTGGCTATATTTAGTCACGCTTCTCAGAGTGACAGTATGCTAAAGGATGCCATATGACCTGGAGGATAACCGTAGAGAGGACGCTACCAGAGGGAGGTCTGCTCCTGAGAGAGACAATTGTTGGGTTTCTATTTTGAGACTTCAGTGTTGTCTCTCTACCCTTAAAGGAATAGGAGCACTCAATTAATTTGGAGGATGAAGAGGATGCAAAATAGGTAATAGAGCACCTTAAGGGTATCATTAAACTTTGATGTGCAGCTGCTTGGAATTCTCAGACTGTGGTTTCTGGAGAGGGTCAGTCACACAGTGGATCATGTGAGGATCATAGCCGTCTTGGCTGGTCAACTTCTTGGGAAGAGCGGATGAAACAGAGCCTTGGAAGAATGGTAAATAATGGTACAGTAGTAGTTACAGGTTGTGTATAAAAATGTAAGCCAATTACTTTGTGATTTACAATGACGATGATTACATTGACACATGACGATAGCTCGTTTTTTCAAAAAGTTATTTTTTTCACCTTTATTTATTCAGGTAAGTAATTGAGAACACATTGTCTTTTACAATAACAATCTTATTTGGCTTTTACTACATCAACACAGTCTTATCTTTTAAACATCCAAGCTTCATATGCAATCAAATGACTGGAATAACAGCTCTGAAAAGTCTGAGTGACTCCCCTTCCTTATAATTATATCCATCCAAATGGACATCAGCCTCTGAAACTGCCTTTGGTATCAGAAACACACACACACACACACACAGTTGTCTGTTACTAAATGCAGTGCATGCTGCTGTATCTTTATCCTGATTAGTTAGTCATTAGTAGCTAGGTAGATTGCAGCTTGTGCCTATCTCCATGTCTCATGTTGCCTTGTCCTTTCTCCTCCCTCTCCCTCCACTCCTTCTAGTGAGCCATGCCGTGGCGCCTCTATGGTCTCCTACTGGTTTTATGTGTGTCTCCACTGGCCTGCCTTGTGACATCCCACTGCCCCGAGGGCTGCTGCTGTCCTCACCCTGGGCTGCTGGTCCTCTGTGAGTCCCTGGGCCTGAGGTCCCTGCCGGTCTCCGTCCCCCTCAACACATCTGTCCTCTCTGTGGCCCGGAACCAGCTCTGTAATGTGGACCACCTACTCTGGCCCTTCTCTGGCTTGCAGGAGCTCAGCCTCAGCCACAACCAACTGGCTCACTTCCCCCGGGGCCTGCCCCCCAGCCTGGAGACCCTGCAGCTGCAGAAGAACCGCATCACCTACATCACCACCGGGGCCCTGCGCCAGTTGGGCAACCTCACCCACCTAGACCTGGAGGACAACCGCATCCGTGCCATCCAGCCAGGGGCTCTGCTGGGCCTGGGGAGGCTGCAGGTTCTGACTCTGAAGGGGAACCAACTAACCAGCCTGCCTCTGAACCTGCCAGCCTCCCTCATCCTCTTAGATCTGTCAGCTAACTGCATCTCTGCCCTGGACCTCGCCTCGCTGAATGCACTGGTCAACTTGCAGGTCCTGAAGATCAACAGCAACTGCCTGCGCTCAGTGCCAGAGAGCGCCTTTGACGGGCTACCAAGTCTCCGTTCTCTGGAGCTGGCCAACAACCTGTGGTTGTGTGAGTGTGACATCCTGTACCTGTACCGGTGGCTACTGAGTGGAAGGCTGAAGATGGCCACTGACCTGGTGTGTGCTGAACCAACACACCTTGCACATCGCATGCTCCTAACCCTATCTGTCATGGCTATCTGTCCACGGGTCCTAAAGCCTAATGAGAAAGTTTCTCACCTCAGCTCCACCACCAAGCCAGAGAGACAGCTGGGTACCTCCACAGTGAAAACCCCTGTGCCTGGTTTTGTATACTCACCCATCAAAACCAGGGCTTTTGGAAGTCTCTCTGGTTCATCAAAGCAAGCATCGAAGGGAACATTCACCAATGTAGAGAGCCCCACTCAATCGCCATACCCTCACCAAGATACTGCTCTGTCACGCCTTCTGTCTGACCACTACACTTTACAGGATCGAAGCTATGAAGACTGCTTGTCTCTGAATTCAACACCATCTGTAGCAACACCCAAGGAGCCTTCCACCACTTCTTTACCAATTGAGGAGCCCAGGTGTTTAGACAATTCTACAGGCCGATACCCTCATGGTAACTCAAGCGTTGTAGAAGCAACAAGTTCCACAAACAAGGATGGCTCCTTACCTGCACCCACTCCCAGAACCCTCACTCTGCACGGCTTCTCAGCAGTCATAGGCCTGTTGGCTGTGTTGTGTGTGCTGGTGGGTCTTCTCATTCTAGCAGTGCTGCTGATCCTGAAAAAGATCCTTGCGCATAACCAGAGGGTGGCCCCATTTCAGCAATCATGAGAGTAAAATGTACTAAAAACATTTTGATGATCAGATTATTTTAACTGCTACTGTAACACACAGATGGATAAATCACACTTGCTGTGATTTATGAGATCTCAACAGTAGGGACAATGTGTCCCCCAGAGTGACAAAGAAGAACATACACTAACATACCAGTATTTATATTTTTATTCAATTTGTTCAATGGCGCTATATTATCAGCAGTTCAATTACTGAAATGTAACTGTACCTCAATTGTCTAGTTATGTGTAACTTCCCACAGGAACCCTGATGCTGTTTATGTATAACCACTGAGCTAACTAAACAAAAAACTTGATTGCCAAAAATCAAATGTACATAATAATAAAAGTACATTTTTGATAATGTCCATGTCTAATCTATGAATTAAGTTTAAATGCCTTTCTTGGCAGTTGGAAATACAAAATAGGATTGTTTTATTCCATCTCAACATTTAGGATTATCATTTGAGAATTGGCATCCATAACGGCAAACAAAAACATAATTCTTAAACATCTGCCATAAAAACTTAAAATGATACAAACACTCTCCAGCAGTTCTGATTTATGGCTTTACTTCAAACTGAAAGCATCAATCACACATTGGAGAACTTGGCCATGATTGTTGGCCTGTATCATGTTCACCTTTCAGACCTGCATCATACAGGTGGTTAGGATGTCAGAGAAAGGCGATTGGGAAGAACAGGGACTAATTGCTGAGTTTTCCTTCTATTTGACCCTGTAGCCTGCCAAGGCTGCCTTTTATAGCATCCTCTGCAAGCACTAAATGGAGATGAAACAACACAGAGAGGGAGCAATACAATGTCACCCCAGGTAAAATAAAAAACACCTGCACATGAATGATTGTAATGATCTTTACTTTTAATTAAAATCATTTGCCAACAAATCTGGGATATACAGTGACTTCAGAAACAAAGTATTCACACTGACTTTTTCCACATTTTGTATTACAGCCTGAATTTCAAATTGATTGAATTGATAGTCACTGGCCTACACACAATACCCCATAATGTCAAAGTGGAATTATGTTTTTAAACACTTTATGAATTAATAAAAAACGAAAAGCTGAAATGTCTTGAGTCTAAGTATTCAACCCCTTTTATGACAAGCCTAAATAAGTTCAGAAGTAAAAATGTATGAGTTGCATGGACTCAATGATTTTTGAATGACTACCTCATCTCTGTACCCCACACATAAAATTATCTGTAAGGTCCCTCAGTCGAGCAGTGAATTTCAAACACAGATTCAACCACAAAGACCAGTGAGGTTTTACAATGCCTCGCAAAGAAGGGCACCTATTGGTAGATGGGTAAAAATACAAACAAGTAGACATTGAATATCCCTTTGAGCATGGTGAAGTTATTAATTACACTTTGGATGGTGTATAAATACAACCAGTAACTACAAAAGATAAAGGCGTCCTTCCTAACTCGGTTGCCGGAGAGGAAGGAAACCGCTCAGGGATTTCACCATGAGGCCAATGGAGACTTTAAAACAGTTACAGAGTTTAATGGCTGTGATATGAGAAAACTGAGGATGGATCAACAACTTTGTGGTTACTCCACAATACTAACCTAAATTACAGAGTGAAACGAAGGAAGCCTGTACAGAATAACAAATATTCCAAAACATGCATCATGAGGCACTAAAGTAAAAGTGCAAAAAATGTGGCAAAGAAATTAACTTTATGTGCTGAATACAAAGCGTTATGTTTAGGGCAAATACAACACATCTGAGTACCAATCTTCATAATTTCAAGCATGGTGGTGGCTCCATCATGTTATTGGTATGCTTGTCATCAAGGATAAAAAGAAACGGAATAGAGCTAAACACAGGCAAAATCCTAGAGGAAAGCCTGGTTCAGTTTGCTTTCCAATAGACATTCGGAGTCAAATTCACCTTTCAGCAGGACAATAACCTAAAACACAAGGCCAAATATACACTGAAGTTGCTTACCAAGATGACATTGAATATTCCTGATTGGCATAGTTATAGTTGACTTAAAATTAGCTTGAAAATCTATGGCAAGACTTGAAAATGGCTCTCTAGCAATGATCAACAACCAACTTGACAGATCTTGAAGAATTTTAAAAAGAATGTGCAAATATTGTACAATCCAGGTGTGCAATGCTCTTACAGACTTACCCAGGAAGACTCACAGCTGTAATCGCTGCCAAAGGTGATTCTAACATGTATTGACTCAGAGGTGTGAATACTTATACAGTGTTGCTTGAAAGTATGTGCACCCCTTGTGCAATTACAGATTTGTTCCGTTTTTACCATGAAATCTTAATTTAATCAGAACCAGTCTTTTTGATCTGACATAACAGGTATATATTTACCCATACCATATGTTGGTGTAGAGGAAATCATGCGTGTAGTAGAAAAACAAAATTAAAAAGGAATTAGTGCAGGTGCAAAAATATGTGAACCCCAGGTTGCGTTGGTTAAATCAAGTAGATAAGTAGAATCAGGTGGGTAAATAATTAGCTACCAAATAAAACAATCAAAGGAGAGATCGTTAGGAAAGAGTTTGGGCGGGACTCTGATAACTAGAGATAAGAAACCTGGTCAGTTTGGTGTTACCTATCCAGGTAAATGCAAAGCACACCATACCGAGAGGAAAGGAGATCTCAGAGGACATCAGGACGAGGGTAGTGAGAGCACATCAGTCTGGGGAAGGCTATAAAATCATCTGAAAAAGATTTGAGCTCCATCAGTCCACTGTGAGGCAAATCATTTACAAATGGAGAGCATTTAACATGACAGAAACTCGGCCTAGAAGTGGACACCCTTTCAAAATATCCCCAAGAGCCACAAGAACAATAATAACTCAGGTAAAAGCCAACCCAAACATAACATCTAGAGATTTGCAGACCTCCCTTGCTGCATCTCAGGTACCTGTGCATGCTTCAACAATAAGAAGAACACTGAATCGAAATGCCATTCATGGGAGGGTTGCTAGGAAGAAGCCTCTGCTGTCAAAAAAGAACAAAACTGCCCGTCTTAACTTTGATTCTTGAACAGAATGTCAGGCTATCAGTCAAGGAGCTAAAGCTGGGCCGAAAATGGGACTTCCAACAAGACAACGACCCAAAGTACTCAAGCAAATCTATCAAAGAATGGCTCAGAAGAAAGAAGATTTGTGTTTTGGATTGTCAAAGTCCTGACCTAAATCCAATCGAGATGCTGTGGCAGGACCTGAAGCGGGCAGTTCATGCCAGACACCCCTCAAACCTCACTCAATTGGCTGAGTTCTGTAAACAGATGTCAGAGACTGATTACTGGCTATAGGAGACGTTTAGTCCAAGTTATCGCTGCTAATGGAGGTGCCACAAGCTATTGACTGAAGGGGTTCACATATTTCTGCACACATCAAATCTGAGTTTCTGTTAAATAAACCACTTTTGTTCAATAAACAATGAAAATATCATTTTTTTGTTTCTGTCATTTACTTGGAATGTCTTCATTACGAATTGGGGTTTAGATAAGGATTTTATATATTTATATAAGTAGCAGATATTTCAGTATTTCATTTTCAATACATTTGCAAAAATGTCTAAAAACATGTCTAAACTTTGTCATTATGGGGTATTGTGTGTAGATGGTGAGAGAGAAAAACGATTTCATACATTTTGAATTCAGGCTGTAACACATCAAAATGTGGAATAAGTCAAGGAATATGAATACTTTCTGAAGCAAGGCACTGTAGGTACTAGACCCTATCCCTATTGTAGTACCGGTATGTTTTACTAACTTACTAGAGCAATGGAGCTTGACTGGTGGAAGGCTGAGTTCTATGGCAATATCAGTGTTCTTGATCTTCAGAGCTTCGTCAATCTGCAAGCGGAAACACATAGGAGAATAAACCGAAACCCCAATCCTACCAACACACATACAGAATGATGCAGAGAGAGTACTGTACATTCACAGTGCCTGTTAAATTTGGGCTGACCAACTTACGGATTTGCCCTTTACCCACTCTGTTACTAGAGAACTGGAAGCAATGGCTGAGCCACAGCCAAAGGTCTTGAATCTAGCATCCACTATCTTTCCCTTTTCGTCCACTTCGATCTGCAGACAAACAAATATTTAACAGTTGCACATTACTGAAAAGACCACTACTTACTTACGATTTACTTATGATGAACTTAGAATCAAACCCCAGACAAGAAAAACTAATAATTCCAAAGGATTCCAAAACAATCCACTGCACATAAACAAGATTCTGAACTGACATACCTGGAGTTTCATAACGTCCCCACATGCAGGCGCACCCACCAAGCCAGTCCCCACATTCTTGGCATTCTTGTCTAAGGAACCCACATTTCTCGGGTTCTCATAGTGGTCCACTACCTGAGAATGGCACAGAAAAGACCCAAGAAAATGACATTCAAGTCATGGAAACAAAGCATACATATGGGGACAAAAGCTATTCGTAACAGTATGGCATCAGGATCAAATACATAGCAGCTCCCGAGTGGCGCAGTAGTCTAAGGCACTGCATCGCAGTGCTAGCTGTGCCACTAGAGATCCTGGTTCGAATCCAGGCTCTGTCGTAGCCGGCCGCGACCAGGAGACCAGCGTCGTCCAGGGTAGGGGAGGGAATGGCCGGCAGGGATGTAGCTCAGTTGGTAGAGCATGGCGTTTGCAACGCCAGGGTTGTGGGTTCGTTTCCCACGGGGGGCCAGTATGAAAAAATTTTTTTTATAAGAGCGTCTGTTAAAATGACAAAAAATGTAAAATGTTTAAAAGATTAAGCAACTTCTTGTTAGTTAGCTAGCTACTGGACAACTTTAGCTACAAAAATAACAACTGTGCCCTAGCTACTGTTGCTAACCAGCTAATGTTAGCTTTAGCATTCACACTGCATTTAGAGTAAATATCGGGTAAACTAGACCTGAGATAAATGTATTAGTTAAAATATAGTGAAATATAGCTAGTAAAGAACATTACCCTTTTGTGATAAGGGCATTACGTTTTAATTTCCGGTGTCAACGACGTCTTCTGAGAAAAAGGAACGCACGACCTCCTAGAGTCGACACAGAGCCCCGCCGACGTAATCGTCTGTGGTTTCAACAGGCTTCCAGTTGCGACGACCACGAAGATCCATCTGCTAGCCCCGGCCCGCTAGCACACGCAAACAACAGCCGTGCTTCCTGCTCGCTGTGCTTTAGCACCAATTCGAACTGCTCTCAAATCACTGTTGCCGCTTGCTTACAGACCCCCCTCAGCCCCCAGCTGTGCCCTGGACACCATATGTGAATTGATTGCCCCCATCTATCCTCAGAGTTCGTACTGCTTGGTGACCTAAACTGGGATATGCTTAACACCCCGGCCATCCTACAATCCAAACTAGATGCCCTCAATCTCACACAAATTATCAAGGAACCAACCAGGTACAACCCTAAATCCGTAAACATGGGCACCCTCATAGATATCATCCAGACTAATTTACCCTCTAAATACACCTCTGCTGTCTTCAACCAGGATCTCAGCAATCACTGCCTTATTGCCTGCGTCCGTAACGGGTCTGCGGTCAAACGACCACCCCTCATCACTGTCAAACGCTCCCTAAAACACTTTAGCGAGCAGGCTTTCCTAATTGACCTGGCCTAGGTATCCTTGATGGATATCGATCTCATTCCGTCAGTAGAGGATGCCTGGTTGTTCTTTAAAAGTGCTTTCCTCTCAATCTTAAATAAGTATGCCCCATTCAAAAAATTCAGAACTAAGAACAGATATAGCCCCTGGTTCTCCTCAGACTTGACTGCCCTTGACCAGCACAAAAACATCCTGTGGTGTACTGCATTAGCATTGAATAGCCCCCGCGAAATGCAACTTTTCAGGGAAGTGAGGAACCAATATACACAAGCAGTTAAGAAAGCTAAGGCTAGCTTTTTCAAACAGAAATTTGCATCCTGTAGCACTAACTCCAAAAAGTTTTGGGACACTATAAAGTCCATGGAGAATAAGAGCACCTCCTCCCAACTGCCCACTGCACTGAGGCTAGGAAACACTATCACCACCGATAAATCTACAATAATCGAGAATTTCAACAAGCATTTTGCTACGGCTGGCCATGCTTTCCACCTGGCTACCCCTACCCCTACCCCGGCCACCAGCCGGGGAGTGCGTTGTTTAGAAGGAGTGCAAAGGCGAATGGCGTTATTGCGCACTTCACAGAGGAGGCGTTCCATAACGGAAATATGCAGATGTACGCTAGAAGGTGCCAACAGGAATTTGTCAGCTCGTGCTTGGCTCTGCCCACCTCCTTGATTGTTCTGCCCACTATGACTCATTTGTTCCCGTTGGAAACGACAGGCCAATAGAGAGTTTATTATCTATTTCAAATCAAAATGTATTTGCCACATGCGCCGAATACAGCAGGTGTAGACATTACAGTGAAATGCTTACTTACAAGCCCTTAACCAACAATGCAGTTTTTTAAAAATAAAAAATGAAAATGAAAAAGTGTTAAAGAAAAATAGAAAATAAAAGCAAATAGCTAAAGAGCAGCAGTAAAATAAAATAACAGTATGGAGGCTATATACAGGGGGGTACCGTTACAGAGTCAATGTGTGGGGGCACCGGCTAGTACATGTTAGAGTTAAAGTGACTATGCATAAATAGTAAACAGAGTAGCAGCAGCGTAAAAGAGGGGGATAGGGTGGGGTGGGGGGCAGTGCAAATAGTCTGGGTAGCCATGATTAGCTGTTCAGGAGTCTTATGGCTTGGGGATAGAAGCTGTTGAGAAGCCTTTTGGACCTAGACTTGGCGCTCCGATACCGCTTGCCGTGCGGTAGCAGAGAGAACACTCTATGACTAGGGTGGCTTGAGTCTTTGACAATTTTTAGGGCCTTCCTCTGACACCGCCTGGTATAGAGGTCCTGTATGGCAGGAAGCTTGGCCCCAGTGATGTACTGGGCCGTACGCACTACCCTCTGTAGTGCCTTGCGGTCAGAGGCCGAGCAGTTGCCATACCAGGCGGTGATGCAACCAGTCAGGATGCTCTCGATGGTGCAGCTGTATAACTTTTTGAGGATCTGAGGACCCATGCCAAATCTTTTCAGTCTCCTGAGGGGGAATAGGTTTTGTCGTGCCCTCTTCACGACTGTCTTGGTGTGTTTGGACCATGATAGTCTGTTGGTGATGTGGACACCAAGGAACTTGAAGCTCTCAACCTGTTCCACTACAGCCCCGTCGATGAGAATGGGGGCGTGCTCAGTCCTCTTTTTTTTCCTCCTGTAGTCCACAATCATCTCCTTTGTCTTGATCACGTTGAGGGAGAGGTTGTTATCCTGGCACCACATGGCCAGGTCTCTGACCTCCTCCCTATAGGCTGTCTCATCGTTGTCGGTGATCAGGCCTACCACTGTTGTGTCGTTGGCAAACTTAATGATGGTGTTGGAGTCGTGCCTGGCCATGCAGTCATGGTTGAACAGGGAGTACAGGAGGGGACTGAGCACGCACCCCTGAGGGGCCCTGTGTTGAGGATCAGCGTGGCAGATGTGTTGTTACCTACCCTTACCACCTGGGGGCGGCCCGTCAGGAAGCCAGGATCAGTTGCAGAGGGAGATGTTTAGTCCCAGGATCCTTAGCTTTGTGATGAGCTTTGAGGGCACTATGGTGTTGAACGCTGAGCTGTAGTCAATGAATAACATTCTCACGTAGGTGTTCCTCTTGTCCAGATTGGAAAGGGCAGTGTGGAGTGCAATAGAGATTGCATCATCTGTGGATCTGTTGGGGCGGTATGCAAGTTGGAGTGGGTCTAGGGTTTCTGGGATAATGGTGTTGATGTGAGCCATGACCAGCCTTTCACTTGCTTTGGCAATGTAAACATATGTTTCCCATACCAATAAATCCCATTGAATTGAGTGACAGGAATAACATGTGCTTCATTCAGTAAGGTTGTATTTTTTGGCATTCATGGCCATGGTTGTCAATTGTAACGCAGGAATGGAACGTAAATCACAGAGGATATATGTTGTTTAAGGCAGCTGCAGATAAGTACTTGGGTGTACAAGGTTTTACTGCATAAGAGTTACAAGATGTTTTGAACTATAGTTTCCCGTCCGCCCAGGCTGCTGGCCACAGAGTTTCTAAACCCATAGGCTCAACGTGTCCCGTCCTACCAGGCTGCTGGCCTGGAGTAGGATCAGATCACAGAGTTTCTAAACCCATAGGCGCAATATCGCGACACTTCCGGGAACGCTTGCGAAGCAGACCAGGCCGGGGTTAGGGGTTAAATGAAAAAAAGACCAGGCCGGGGTTAGGGGTTAAATAAAAAAAAAAAAAAAATGTAAATGTTAAATAAGTCAATGAGAGAAGTGAAACATTCTTCCTTAGTTGTTAATTTTCTCGAAATCTAAAGTCACAACCTATATTCAATGTCTTAAGTAGTTATTACTCCAACCTCGTGAAATTCACAAACTGACACGTTTTCACAAAGTGTCATTAATTCATACTACAGAATTGTAGGCTGATACACAGCCAATACAGTATGTGGCAGCATGCACCTAAAATATTTGTTTACGGACCGTCATAATACCGAAGAAGAAGAAGTTAGCGTCATGGATGACGTCACACGACAGTTTCGAATTTTTTATGCTCGAGAAGAAAAGGCGGTTGTCTGCTGTATAATTTTTTTTTGGCAGTATGCCGTGCTGTGGCGCCAAACAACAAGTTATTTTGTGCATTCAAATAACAAATTGTAATTAGTTGCAACATTTCTATTAAGTCTCATCTGCACAATAATATAGAGTGTAACGTAGCATATTGCCGCATTAGCATATACACAGGAATCATTTATTTCTGTGATCATATAGGAACACATAGATCTACATCTCACACTTTGCGTTTTACTCATGATATGGACGATGAACTGCAAAACAGAACTGCATAACAGTACAATAGGCTGCTTCTGTGCTTCTCATCATTGCACAGCGTGCACAGGGACGTCGGCCATTAAAATTGCCGTACTGGAGTCCCTCTTTTTAATTGCAGGGAGATTCGGTACCCGCTCTTTTCAGGAGGAATCTTAGCAAATGCAATGTATAGTGGTTATAGCTGTTATTGTCCAAGTAATATTAATAAATAGTTATTTGGTTGTGTTGTTTCCATGTAGGTAACAGATTACGTGACGTTTCGAATTTAGCATAGAATCAGAGGGTGGGTTTGCCAGCCAGGCTCTACCTTGGACAGCTCTCACTACTGTTACCAGGCAGACATAGTTCCAACATGGCAGCAACGGGGAACGCAGAAGAGACGCAGTTGCAAGAGATGGAGGAAGAGGCAGGGATGGAAAGGGAAAGAGATTCAGATGAAGAGGAGGGTATGGGAATCGAAAATTCCGACGACGAAGAAGACGATTCATCCGAGGATGATAAAGATAATGAAGCCGAAATTCAGCGTTTGGAGGAGCAGGTACGTTAGCTAGCTGACTAAGCTAACTGTGTTTGAGAAATGAATGGAAACCTAGCTAGCTATTTTAATCCACAGTGTTACAGCTAGCCGTATAACGTTTGATGTCAACTAGCTAACAACGTTGTTGGTTACATTGATTTAAAAGCAAACAACACATCACAAACAACAAGCTGGCTTGTTTGCAGACTTGCACCGCTTGTACTGCAAAGAAAGCTAGCTAGCTACCTAGTTAACGCTAGCTCGCATGCTAATAGTTAGCAACGTCGGCTAGCTATTAGTTGATGCCTCATTATTTAACTATCTAGTCAGCTAGCATGTTACCCAGCCACAATTATATAATACTTGTGAATATAATACCAGCCATCGTAATACCAGCCAACGTGCTTGAAGCTGTATTACAGCCTGTAAACACGTGCCCTTTCGGCGAGCTGCAGTTGGGAAAGGTAGCTAGCCAGTCAGCGACATCATTGAACAGTCAAGCTATCTGGTTGATGGCACAAGCAATACTCATTACAGTGTCTAGTTTACTTACATATTGTGTATTTGTTTGCTAACCAAAGACAACGTCTGTAAATACACCCCTAAGGTTGTTGGTCTGACTTGTCTTCTATGCTCTCTCTCTGACTTTCAGCTGTCCATCAATGCTTTTGACTACAACTGTCATGTGGATCTCATAAAACTCCTGAGGCAGGAGGGGGAACTGCCTCCACTGCGTAAGGCAAGGCAGAAGATGAGTGAGCTCTTCCCACTGACCGAAGGTTTGTGTCTGATGGCCTCTGGAGATGCAGCCGTCTTTATGCTTGGCAACTTTTATGATTGAGCTGAAGTGCTTTATGTTGTAGACTAGATTAAATATAAAACTCGTTGCAAGAAGGTCTGCTGCTCCTTTTGTGATTAATTGGTGTGAAGAAGCCTTTTATGTATGATGATGATTCAGTAATTTGGAACAAGGTTTACTGTTTCATAATTTCTGTGAAAACTGATGGTTTCATTGTTGTAAACATACTGAATGTTATTGTGAACTCTATAAAGCTGACTTGTCCTCTCCTGCAGAGATTTGGCTGGACTGGCTCAAGGATGAGATCCGCCTAACCGAGGAGGAGCCGAACCGGGAGAAAGTCTACGAACTCTTTGAGACAGCTGTGAAAGATTATATCTGTGAGTTCTGTCCCCACTCATTGGATTGTGTTACGATTCTATATGATGTGATGTTATTGTAAAGTAAACATTGAAATTCTTGTGTGGCCTTCAGGCCCTGAAATCTGGCTGGAGTATGCCCAGTACTCTATCGGGGGCATGGGACTGCCTGGTGGGATGGAGAAAGTGAGGTCCATCTTTGAGAGAGCCCTGACAGCCGTGGGGCTGCACATGACCAAGGGGGCGACTGTGTGGGAGGCTTACAGGGAGTTTGAGAACGCCATACTGGCAACTGTTCAGGTGAGCGCCCCTGAAGAATAATGATCTCAAGTAGCTGCAACATGCTGCTCATTTTTCTATATCTCCCCATGTCTATATTTCTTAGGGTGTTTTGTATAATACCATCTGCTAAATTAATGATGGTATATTTTCCTTATATCTTCAGTCTTGGGCAGAAATGTTAAAAAAGCATGATTGAATGCAATCTGATATTACACAAACCAGGCTCTTTGCTGGATTTTGACTCAGTTTTCTCTCCCTGCTTTTTCCTCAGCCTCCCCCTGGCAGCGTCCCCACCCGTGAACAGCAGGAGCTTCTGAACACTCAGCTCGAGCGCATCCACACTCTGTTCCGCCGCCAGCTGGCCATCCCCTTAATGGGTAAGGCTCCCCCTGCTCCACTCTGGAGGGGATGCTGTACAGAGGGTGGGGGGGGGGAATAACATGTCCTTGAGAGGCTATTATGGCACACTTGGGAGGTACCCATCACAAATACCTTTCAGGACTGAGACGTGGAGAGCCAGTGCAATGCTTCGTAGACAACGGGTGTAAACTAACAGTGAAATGCTTAGTTACGGTCCTTTTCCAACCATGCAGATTTAAAGATCAGAAACAAAAATAAAAAAAATTAAATGTGACAGTGAATAACTAATAAATAAAAATAACATGGCTATATATAGGGAGTAGAAAATAACATTGCTATATACATGGAGTACCAGTACCGAGTTGATGTGCAGGGGTACGAGGTAATTGAGGTAGCTATATACTGTACATATAGGTAGGGGTAAAGTTACTAGCAGCAGCGTATGTGGTGAGTGTGAAAGGTGTGTGTGTTGGGGTGTCCGTGTAAGTATGTGTGTGGGTCGAGTCCAGTGTGTGTGCAGAGTCAGTGCAAAAACGGGTCAATGCAGGTATTCCGGGTAGCCATTTGGTTAGCTGTTTAGAAGTCATATGGCTTTGGGGTAGAAGCTGTCCAGGGTCCTGTTGGTTCCAGACTTGGTGCATTAGTATTGCTTGCCGTGCAGTAGCAGAGAGAACAGTCTGTGGCTTGGGTGACTGGAGTCTTTGACCATTTTTGGGCCTTCCTCTGACACTGCCTGGTATAGAGGTCCTGGATGGCAGGGAGCTCGGCCCCAGTGATGTACTGGGCCGTACGCACTAACCTCTGTAGCGCCTTGCGGTTGGATGCCAAGCAGTTGCCAAACCAAGTGGTGATGCAGCCGGTCAAGATGCTCTCGATGGTGCATCTGTATAACTTTTTGAGGATCTGAGGGCCCATGCCAAATCTTTTTAGCCTCCTGATGGGGAAGAGGTGTTGTCGTGCCCTCTTCACGACTGTGCTTGTCTGTTTGGACCACGATAGATCCTTAGTGATATGGACACAGAGGAACTTGAAGCTCTCGACCCGCTCCACTACAGCCTCGTCGATGTGAATGGTGGCGTGCTCGGCCCTCTGTTTCCTGTAGTCCACAATCAGCTCCTTTGTCTTACTGACGTTGAGAGAGAGGTTATTGTCCTGGCACCACACTGCCAGGTCTCTGACCTTCTCCCTATAGGGTGTCTCATCGTTGTCGGTGATCAGGCCCACCGCTGTTGTGTCATTGGCAAAATTAATGATGGTGTTGGAGTCGTGCTTGGCCACGCGGTTGTGCGTGAACAGGGAATACAGTAGGGGACTAAGCACGCACTTCTGAGGGGCCCCGTGTTGAGGGTCAGCGTGGCGGATCTGTTGTTGCCTACCCTCCCCACCTGGGGGCGGCCCATCAGGAAGTCCAGGATCCAGTTGCAGAAGGTGGAGTTCAGTCCCAGGGACCTTAGCTTAGTGATGAGCTTGGAGGGCACTATGGTGTTGAACGCTGAGCTGTAGTCAATGAACAGCATTCTCACGTAGGTGTTCCTTTTTAGGGCTGACCCAATTTTTAGTCGAGCAGTTGCAAAAAAAACAATGTTTTATGGCACATGTCTTGATCGATGCCTATCTCAGTGGACTATTCCATTCCTGAGGTGGCACACCAGTATCACCAGTAGTACATTTACTGTTAATTCCCATAATTAGTAATCTACAATGTTTTGTTTGGTTATCGTAAATCAGTTAATGCATTCAATATATTATTATTACAGTCGTTTACAGTTCTCATTGTTGGAGTGGACACGTTGTTTGCAGAGTGTACAACCTAGGCTACACTTGTGAGGGACAAGTTTTGGTTTATTTCATTCCATTTACGAGTTTTTATTTGGAGCGCTCCTGTCAATGTTTAGTAAGGACATGCACCTGATTACACATAGAAGTAGGCCTATGCTACCTGGCCTGCGCGCCAATGTAGCGTTATAAATGTGCACATTTGGGGATCTGATACTATTTCTGATTGTCTTAACGCACCACCACTAATGAGCTGTGGAGCTTCTCAAAGTAATGTTTTCTTCAACTCAAACATTAAGTAAACAAAGTCAGTTTTTACATCCATTGAGAATGACAATAGTTCCTCAATGTAGCCTATTTGAAAAATCTTTCCAGCACTCTCCCTTTCGATAACCACTCGTCGTGAAAGGGAAAAAAAATGTCATGCTCTGATCCAGTAGAAACGTCATAAAATAGGCCTTTCTGATTTACTTCTTATCCCTTCCGCAAATAGCCTACAGCTGTGTCTGTATGGAGCTCACTGGCACGGGAAACTGAGGGTCCAGAATATTTTATACAATGTTGCAAGTTTATTAGCACAAGCTTTTGGCTGGACCAAGTTGATAGTTGATACATTATTTGAAGTTCCTTGTAGACAGGCCATGTGTAGCCAATGTGATTTATTTTAATCAGGATCTTTTCTACCTGCAGGCTGCAATGTTTTTATTTGTTGGCGTTATGTAGGCTATTTTTTACATAGTTGGCAATATAATATAATTTTCATTTAGATATAATTGTATTAATCACATGACAATGATTTTGAGATACGACAACTTTATTATAAAATAAATGAAACTGTTCCACGAAAATGTGCATATGAAAATCATAACTGGCATGCAGATCGGTAGAAAGGGTAAGATAAAAAGGTTGCCAACCCCTGGTGTAGCCTATTACCGGCAACTTCGGGAGCATAATGGCAGAATCTGCGAAGGCCAGCAGCAGTGGGAGGCGGTGGTTCGGGAACAGGTTTTTTTTCTTCTGGTTTTCTTGATCTCTGGCTCCCTCTTGAGTCATTTTTGTGTCTTAATTAATCACAGTGTACTTAAAGCATCATTTTACATTTACATTTTAGTCATTTAGCAGACGCTCTTATCCAGCGCGACTTACAGTTTGTGATCAGACAAGTTTATTTGATTAAAACACATAGGGCAGGGTTCTTCAATTCCAGTCCTGGAGGGCCGAAACACCTCTGTTTTTCATCCTCTCCTTCTAATCAGGGGCTAATTCAGACCTGGGACACCAGGTGAGTGCAATTAACTACCAGGTAGAAATAAAAAACAGAAGTGTTTCGGCCCTCCAGGACCGGAATTGAAGAACCCTGACATAGGGTGTGTCTATATATGGGCAAATACACGTTTTTTACTTTAGAGAAGTCGATTGGTCGAAAGAACAGATTCTTAGTCGACCAAGATTTTTTAGTCGGGGAGAGCCCTAGTTATTTTTGTCCAAGTGGGAAAGGGCAGTGTGGAGTGCAATAGAGATTGCGTCATCTGCGGATCTGTTGAGGTGGTATGCAAGTTGGAGTGGGTCCAGGGTGTCTGGGATGATGGTGTTGATGTTAGCCATGACCAGCCTTTCAAGGCATTTCATGGCTACAGATGTGAGTGCTGATAGTCATTTAAACAGGTTACCTTGGCGTTCTTGGGCACAGGGACTATGGTGGTCTTCTTGAAACAAGTAGGTATTACAGACTGGGTCAGGTAGAGGTTGAAAATGTAGCTGCTGGTCAGCGCATGCTCTGAGTACGCGTCCTGGTAATCAGTCTGACCTTGTGAATGTTAACCTGTTTAAAGGTCTTACTCACATTGGCTATGGAGAGCTTCAAGGCAGTGTCGAAGCGAGCATGGAAGGCATTTAGCTCATCTGGTAGGCTCGTGTCACTGGGCAGCTCGTGGCAGGGTTTCCCTTTTGTAATCCATGATAGTTTGTAAGCCCTGCCACATCCAATGAGCATCAGAGCCGGTGTAGTAGGATTATATCTTAGTCCTGTGTTTTTACGCTTTGCTTGTTTGATGGTTCGTTGGAGGGCGTAGTGGGATTTCTTATAAGCGTCCGGGTTAGTGTCCCGCTCCTTGAAAGCGGCAGCCACATTTACATTTTAGTCATTTAGCAGACACTCTTATCCAGAGCGACTTACAGTTAGTGAGTGCATACATTTTCCATACTGGCCCCCCGTGGGAATCGAACCCACAACCCTGACGTTGCAAGCGCCATGCTCTACCAACTGAGCTACAGGAGGCCCAATAGTCTTTAGCTCAGTGCGGCAGCTCTAGTCTTTAGCTCAGTGCGGATGTTGCCTGTAATCCATGGCTTCTGGATGGGATATGTACGTACGGCCACTGTGGGGACGACGTCATCGATGCACTTATTATTGAACACAGTGACTGATGTGGTAAACTCCTCAATGTGGTAAACTCCAGTCTGTGCTAGCAAAACAGTCCTGTAGCTTAGCATTTGCTTCATGGGACCACTTCCGAATTGAGCGTGTCACTGGTACTTCCTGTTTGAGTCTTTGCTTGTAAGCAGGAATCAGGAGGATAGAGTTATGGTCAGATTTGCCAAATGGAGGGAGAGCTTTGTATACGTCTCTGTGTGTGGAGTAAAGGTGATCTAGAGTTTTTTCCCCCTCTAGTTGCACAGGCGACATGCTGGTAGAACTTAGGTAAAATGGATTTGTTTTCCTGCATTAAAATTACCGGCCACTAGGAGAGTTGCTGAGTGTTCCTTTCTCTTACTATGTGGCTTTTGATAGACTCAATAGAGGTTTACAGAGAAAGCACTCATACTCACCAGGCCCAGTAATGTGGTCCCTGACCAGCCTTTCATCCAAGCGCAGGACTGGCCAAGAGATAGCCAGATGGTCTGGCATTGTCTGCTGCCTTTTTTCTGGTCCGGCTGAACGGCCACTGGAGGCATTTCTGGAATAGCTAAACCCATCTCTCGCTTCTATGACCTGTGCCAACCATGGTGCCAACGCTCAGTGTATAATCCCTCCTTATCTATGGCCTGTCAGTCACTGCTTTCTACCTCCACAAGATGATGGCACAAAGAAAAAGAAAACATGGCTGTGTGCTATTGGTAAAATGTGGACAAACTCAATGTCAAAAGCCAACATCCTTCTGAATGAGTTTTAACCTTTTGGTGTTCCTCCCTTGAATTTATTGTAATAAATGCACAGAATGCTCTTTTATATAATCACCTTCATTCTAAGCCACACTTAGAATGTGGCTGAGTGTTGAATGCATATTCAGGGTTGACCGTGTGAAAGGTTTCTCCTAATGAAAGCTGCTCTTTTACAGACATGGAAGGAACATATGCAGAGTATGAGGAGTGGTCTGACCAGGGGGTGTCTGAAACAGTCTCCCAGAAGTACAAGAGAGCCCTGCAACAGATGGAGAAGAGCAAGCCTTATGAGGAGACTTTGGTACTTACCTAGATTGTATTCTACTCTGGACATTTTGTACCATACTGTTTGTTTTGGAAGGATTTTCAATGGATCTGAAGCATTCAATTCTGATTGCACTGCCTAGAAAGTAGCAGTAGATTAGTAGTAAAGTTTTGTATCGTTTTAAGCATTATGTGCTTAAGCAAATTGATTGCTTTTTCCTACATGTACCTCTGAAATCATTGTGAGTCTTGGTGTGAGTCTGTATGCTAGACATGGTCGTCTGCTCAATGCCTTTAACATGCCAACGTTTGTGTTTCAGATGGCAGCCGAGCCGCCCAAGCTGGCAGAGTATCAGACCTACATTGACTATGAGCAAAGGGAGGGTGACCCGGCACGGATCCAGATCATCTTTGAGCGGGCACTGGCAGATAACTGCCTGGTACCAGACATGTGGGCCAAGTACACCAAGTACCTGGTGAGTATCCCCCAGCCCCTTCCACTGCACCGCACCGGGTGACGTGCTGCACTGGGCTCATTTTAATTACTCACAGCCAGCCGTCTCTCGCTCTCTCCAGCAGCTCCTGAAATTTATTCATGGCCTTTTAATTGCTTTAATGGGATGGTAATGAGATGCTGAGATCGCAACCCTAAACATGGACAACATCCAGTAATTCATCAGAGCCTGGGCGTTTCACCAGTTTGATGAAAAAACAAAAGTTTAATCTTATTGTTCCAAACCTGTAATCCATTAGGCTCTTTTTAAGAAGCCACGTTTTGGCCTCCTGCATATACTAAGGGAAGTGATTAAATTGATGGAGGTGCGATTTAACTGCATTATATGCTTCCACACATGAATCAAGTTATGACGTTGCCTAATGGTGTTGGGCAGTATAGTATTCCTTGTGCAGCGTTATGATGGAAAATGAACGCTATCCCACAGGTTCACCTTTCTAGCAAACAAGTCTGTTATCACCCAGGTAGAAATTACTGTAGATTTACGGTCTTTGAGTTCCTTGTCAATGTGGGTTGTGATTTATTGTTGGATTGTTTTATTAACAAGTATTTTGCTGTTGCCTCAGGATCGTCAACTAAAAATCAAAGACCTGGTCCTGTCCTCTCACGACCGTGCAGTCAGGAACTGCCCCTGGACCATGGGCCTGTGGAAGAACTACCTGCTTGCCCTGGAGAGGCATGGGGCCAACCACCACACTATATCAGGTAAGCACTAGACCACAGGTGGGTTATGGAGGCATCACTCATATGTGTCATGTATTGTGTGGATGTAAACAAGGAGATTTCAAACTGAATTGAAACATACATTTCATTCATAAGGGGTGAACTTGTTTAAAGATGTTGTATCGCCCCTATTATTGATACTGGGACTTCGGAATCATGAAAGACCATCTCTTTTTTTCCCCTCCACAGACATTTTTGAAAAGGCCCTGAATGCCGGTTTCATACAAGCCGCAGATTACGTGAATATCTGGGAAGCATACCTCGATTACCTGAGGAGGCGCGTCAATTTCAGCAAAGGTGAAAGCACCTTAACATTGGGTAATGCAAAGTAATTGAACTAATAAGATCTTATTTGTGGTGTGGGGAAAGTAAAATGTATGGATGAAAGAAGTCCTCTATTGATAATGGTGTTGTTCTTTCTTTTCCAGAGTCGAGCAGAGAGCTGGAGGAGCTGCGGGCAGCCTTCACCCGTTCTCTAGACTATATGAAACAGGACGTGGAAGAGAGTAAGTCGACCTGCAGCCTGTGTACAGTACTCATCTTGGTCCTTGTGTGTTTGTGTTGGAGACTCACCACTGTGTCTTGCTCCTGTCTAGGATTTAGTGAAAGTGGAGACCCTTCCTGTACCATCATGCAGGTCTGGGCAAAGATAGAGGTAAGGGTGAAGATCATGACAAACTTGTCTTGTGTTCACTTGCTCCTATCATTGCAGATACAAGTCAGTGCAAAAATAGCATCTATACAAATTAAAATGTGATTTTATACAATTTTTTCTTTCTAGGCCCTGCATTGTAAGAACATTCAGAAAGCTAGAGAACTGTGGGACAGCATCATGACAAAAGGGAATGCCAAATTCGCTAACATGTGGCTGGAGTACTATAACCTGGAGAGGTCAGTGAGGTCACTCTTTAGTGGTCACCTGTGAACTGTTGATTTGATGGTTAGAGACCTTGATTTATCAGTGACAAATCTGATGGTGGTTTTGTGATATGGGTTGACTCTTTGCAGGTCGTACGGAGACGCTCTTCACTGCAGGAAAGCCCTCCACAGGGCCGTCCAGTGTACTACCGACTACCCAGAGCATGTGTGTGAGGTCCTGCTCACCTTTGAGAGGGTCGAGGGTGAGTCTGTGATAGAAATGTCATGAATAAGTGGACAGGTATCAGAGGTGTCAGTTGGTGTGATGGATTGGCTGATTTGTAGAAAACATAACACATAAATCATGGTGTGAGTGTTTCAGTGCAGTTTGTTGTGTGTCACCACCAGGGTCTCTGGAGGACTGGGATGCAGCGGTGCAGAAGACTGAGACAAGGCTGAACAGAGTCAACGAGCAGAGGGCCAAGGTAAGATGACCCTGCAACACTCACAACACTGCTGCTAGCTAGGCCTGTGGACATAGTAGGACGTTGATTATACTGGGCAGGGGAGGATGGAAGGATGAGTTGGGGTTGTAAGGGGAATGGGAACAGTTGTAGATTTTTATAACAGAATTGAAAGGAAAAAACAAACGTTTTGCTTGTGCAGCTGTCTGTTTCTGTGCTGTCATGTTCATAACTTCATCCCTGTCCATCTCTCAGGTGGCAGAGAAAGAGGCCCATCTGGTCCGACAGGAGGAGGAGAAGACTGAACAGCGACGGAGGGCCAAGGCAGACAAGAAGAACCAGAAGAAGGGCCAGAAAGGCAGCAGGCCTGGGGAGAAGAGGAAGGCAGAGGACGAGGACAACGACGATGAGTGGGGGGAGGAATCAGGTAAGGAGAGACATCATGATGATCCTACCTTTTTTATTGTTTTATTTTTTACATAGGAATTGTATTGCTTGGTCTCCGCTTATGCTAACAAAGTGGCATGTATAAAAGTAATCCTGTGTGTTTGCTAAACTTTGTGTCACCTCTCTGTGCAACAGTAAGTAAGTAGCCTTGAGCCACTCATAGGGCAGGAGCCTATCTCCTGATTCTGTAGCGTGAGGCAGCTTGATGTACAAGTACACCACCTGGACGCTAGTCTATTGCAGGGCCTTACACCTAATCTATCTCCTGTGCAACAGAGCAACCTCCAAAGAGGCACCGAGGGGAGGGCAACCAGGGCAGCTTCAGGGGAGGAGGCGCTGAGGAGTTCATGGAGACAGAGAGTGGACTGTTTGGGAGGAGAGCCCCCCCTTGCCGCAGACAGGAACCCCCGGGTGCTAAAAGGGGCCAGCAGATGGCACCAGCCACCGTACGGAAGACCCAGGAAGACAATCCAGAGCAACGCAAGGATGACTGCAGTGTGTTTATCAGTAACCTGGCTTTCAGCATGGAGGATCCAGAGAAGAGACTGAAGGAGTTGTTTGAGCCCTGCGGTCCTGTCCAGTCGGTGCGCCCCGTCTATGCTGCCAAGGGCTTCAGAGGGTACTGCTACGTACAGTTTGAGGGCAAAGTGTCCGTGCCCGAGGCCCTGAAGATGGACCGGCGAGAGGTGGACGGCAGGCCAATGTTCGTATCGCCCTGTGTGGATAAAAACAAGAACCCTGATTTTAAGGTGAGCGTGAGACCCATCTACATTGAACAAAAAATATAAACGCAACATGTAAAGTGTTGATCCCATGTTTTATGAGCTGAAATAAGATCCAAGCAATGTTCCACAAACAAAACCTTTCTCTAAAATGTTGTGCACAAATTTGTTTACATCCCTGTTCTCCTTTGCCAAGATAATCCATCCACCTGACAGGTGTGGCATATCAAGAAGCTGATTAAGCAGCATGATCATTACACAGGTGCGCCTTGTGCTGGGGACAACAAAAAGCCTCTCTAAAATGTGCAGTTTTGTCACACAACACAATACCACAGATGTCTCAAGTTTTGAGGGTGCGTGCATTTAGCATGCTGACTGCAGGAATGTCCACGAGCTGTTGCCAGATCATTTAATGTTAATTTCTCTACCATAAGCCGCCTCCAACGTTTCAGAGAATTTGGCAGTACGTCCAACCGGCCTCACAACCGCAGACCATGTGTATGGCGTTGTGTGGCCGAGCGGTTTGCTGGTGTCAACGTTGTGAACAGAGTGCCTCATGGTGGGGTTATGGTATGGGCAGGCATAAGCTATGGACAATGAACACAATTTCATTTTATTGATGGCAATTTGAATGCACATGGATACCGTGACAAGATCCTGAGGCCCATTGTCGTGCAATTCATCCGCCGCCATCACCTCATGTTTCAGCATGATAATGCACGGACCAATGTCGCAAGGATCTGTACACAATTCCTGGAAGCTGAAAAATGTCCCAGGTCTTCCATGGCCTGCATACTCACCCATTGAGCATGTTTGGGATGCTCTGGATCGATGTGTATGACAGCATGTTCCAGTTCCCGACAATATCCAGCAACTTCGCACAACCATTGAAGAGAAGTGGTACAACATTCCACAGGCCACAATGAACAGCCTGAACAACTCTATGCAAAGGAGATGTCGCCCCGCATGAGGCAAATGGTGGTCACACCAGATACTGACTGGTTTTCTGATCCACGCCCCTACCTTTAAAAAAAAGATATCTGTGACCAACATATGCATATCTGTATTCCCAGTCATGTGAAATCCATAGATTAGGGCATAATGAATTTATTTCAATTGACTGATTTCCTTATATGAACTGTAACTCAGTCAAATCTTTGAAATTGTTGCCTATTTTTGTTCAGTATGTTAGTTTTGATTTAGGGGTGGATGAATGGAATGGTGGTTTCACCATGTAGATAGTGAGTTACTCTTTTAATGTCTCTTCCTCTAGGTGTTTAAGTACAACACAAACCTGGAGAAACACAAGATATTTATCTCGGGCCTGCCTTTTTCCTGCACCAAGGAGCAGCTGGAGGAGCTGTGCAAGGATCAAGGCACCATCAAAGACATCCGTCTGGTCACCAACCGCTCAGGCAAACCCAAGGTGAGGAGGCATAACTCTGGGAGGTTAGGCTGTACAGGTCTGGGGCTGAGAGGTTAGGATGCCTGGGGCTGAGAGGTTAGGATGCCTGGGGCTGAGAGGTTAGGATGCCTGGGGCTGGGAGGTTAGGATGCCTGGGGCTGGGAGGTTAGGATGCCTGGGGCTGGGAGGTTAGGATGCCTGGGGCTGGGAGGTTAGGATGCCTGGGGCTGGGAGGTTAGGATGCCTGGGGCTGGGAGGTTAGGATGCCTGGGGCTGGGAGGTTAAGCTATACAGGCCTGGGGCTGGGAAATCTGGGCCTGGGAGACTAGAAGGCCTGGGGCTGGGAGGTGGGTGAGGCTGTACAGGTCTGGGGCTGGGAGGTGGGTGAGGCTGTACAGGTCTGGGGCTGGGAGGTGGGTGAGGCTGTACAGGTCTGGGGCTGGGAGGTGGGTGAGGCTGTACAGGTCTGGGGCTGGGAGGTGGGTGAGGCTGTACAGGTCTGGGGCTGGGAGATCTGGGCCTGGGAGACTAGAATGCCTGGGGCTGGGAAGTGAGGCTGTACTGGTCTGGGGCTGGGAGGTGAGGCTATACAGGTCTGGGGCAGGGAGGTTAGGTATTTTTCTCTATCCAGATGTTAGGTTTAGAGTATTTAATTTGCTCTTGAGTTCTCCAATTGAGTAATAAGTTAGTAACTTATATTTGTTGTAATGTGTTTAATATTACACCCATCTTTGTAAACATCCAAACATATAATTTGAATCACACATGTAGAAGCTCCATTTACTTACACACGTAAAATGGATAGCTCTCATGGGAGTTGCTGCTCTAATGTGCTGCTGTGGCGTGTCTCTGCAGGGTCTGGCATACGTGGAGTTTGAAGATGAGGCTCAGGCCTCCCAGGCCGTGCTGAAGTTGGATGGCACCGTACTACAGGAACACACACTCTCTGTTGCCATTAGCAACCCACCTCGCAGAAATGCAGCCGACAAGCCTGACTTCAGCAGGCCCATGGGAGCCATGATGCCCCGGGCTATGGTCTATGGATCGTAAGTTGGCCAACGCTCTAGTAATAATACTCTTCTAACAAGGAAAGATGTTACCCTGACGATAGTACTCAATAGTAATATCCGATTGGCTATGTTTCTCCAACTCATGAAACATAAGCTGCCTTTTTAAATCGGCTTTTCTCACCTGTTCACTGAATAAATATATAGATGTGAATTTGAGAGCTCTGATTCCTTTGGTTTTATTTTTCAGAAGGGGAAAAGGGCGAACCCAACTCTCACTAATCCCTCGTTCCCTACATCGGCAGACTGGATCAGAAAGTAAAGCAGAAAATGGGACTGCACCTAAACCCACAGGGGGTGCATCCGAAGACGCTGGGTTTGACGCACACGCCAAGCCCATGTCCAATTCAGACTTTGCCAAAATGCTTCTCAAAAAGTGAAAATTATGGAAAAACAAAAGTAATAAAATAACTCCCTTTTGTATGGAAAGCCATCTTGTGTCCTTGAGGAGAAGAAATGGCAGATATTGTGCTGTAAGTGTTTGACTCTCCTTTAAATCACTCCCATGGCCTCATTCTCCTTGTCACTTTTTGTGAGAAAGCCTTAATCTCCCTGGCTCCTTCAACTGGTCCCAAACCACATATTACCATCCCTTTGAACAATGATTGATTGATATTGCCTTTGAAAAAGTGTGAGAATCTCTGTTTTAATGACCAATTTCGGCTTGGTTTTTTTAGATTGGAAAAGGTGTTTTTATAGAAGACGTAATATGTGTAAATTATTTTGTTCTGGATTGAGGAAAGGGTTTGACAAATTCTGAGTTTAGTATTTGCCATGCTAAAACAACCCAGCTTGTGAATCATGTTTCTTGTTGTTTTAAAAGGTATATGCAAGACCTTGACATTTTATGAGATGTGTTATAGATTGTGTATATGTATTACAACAATGAAAATAATTTCCCCGTTTGTGTTTTAAGTAAAGATTAACCCATTTTGAATATCATTTTTGTGCATCTCTGAGCAATGTTCTATCGATTCCGGGGGTCATTTCATGTTTATCTGAGCTATTTGCTGTTCAAGCAGGCAGAAATACAGCCACTATGATGCGTTTTGCATCAGATAAACATGAAATGACCCCGGGAATCGATAGCCGATCGCTCAGAGATGCACAAAAACAATAACGTTCAGAATGGGTGAATCTTTCCTATAAGGCAACTTAAGATGTCAACATACCACTAACATCTTTTGCGTCCCTTACAGGGCAGCTAACATGCAACGATATTTGTTCCCAGCCAGTGAAAGACTAATGCTTCGCTTTACAGAATATTACCTTAAACTGCAGTTGTACAAATAATTTATTTGCAGATGTACTACTTCCTCACCTGTTCTGTGCTCACATTTTAGAATGTAGTTTTCAAAAGTCTTTGTCCATACGAAACAAAAAAGAAAAGGCATGTCTCAATTATAGCTGTTAAAATCCTTTGTTACTAATCCCTTACTGAGACTTTTATTGCTGGCACTATAATTTAACAGGTAGCATGTAACCCGGCACCCCATTTTTTTTGCCAATCATGTTTAGGCTGTCCTACGTGAAATGATTGAAGGGAAGACATTTTTGGTGTACTCCAATTTACTTCCAGCTAACTTTTTTTTTTAATGGATTGCTCTTTCCTGGTTAAGGTATTGAATAAGCTATCTGTGTAAGTCTTGAGATGGGTAGGGAATGAAGAACTGACAGTTTGGAGAAGTCCTAAAAGGCCTTGTCTTTTACAGTCATCCCAGTATTGTAATGAGTCCTGTCCACAAGTGAATCTATGCAGCTGTTTGATTGCAAGAGCACTTCATGTCCATGTATCAAATCTGCCTACAATATCAATAAGTGATAACATCATGGGAATGTAGGTTTATACTTAATTCAGAACTGTCTCCTTTTCCTTTCAAATTAAATCGACAAGTAACCCTATTTTGATGAGTGGGGAACGTCAAATGTGTGTTCACACACACCCAGTGGTAGGCCATAGTTTTGTAATACATTTCTATGTTTGAGAATTATTAGCTATATCTATCAATGTTCTATCACCACAGTGGCCTAATCCAGGGTTTCCCAAACTTGGTCGTCGTCGTCCCCCCCCCCCCCCCGGTGCACATTTTGGTTTTTGCCCTAGCACTACATAGCTGATTCAAATAACATCATCAAGCTTTCATTATTTGAATCAGCTGTGTAGTGCTAGGGCAAAAACCTAAATGTGCACACCAGGGGCGGGGCCCAGGACTGAGTTTGGGAAACCCTGGCCTAATCTAGTTTAAGAGACTACAAATGTTTGATCTTTAGAAGTCGCTTTCTGTTTTGTCAAATACTAAAATATGGTGTATGCACATTGTATGGTCATTTAAAAATAATTTTGTTGTCATGGTGTTTTCATTTTTCTATTATTAGAACAAATGTAAACTAAACTTTTTTTTAAAAACAATTGTCAATGCAACTTTCTCTGACGAGATTGTACTTGGTCTATTTTTGTTCAGTGATTATTTTATTTACTGCTTGTTCCAAGTTTTACACTTGTCATTTGGGTGTTGTAAAATTGTCATTTTGTTGCTGTTTCTGGCCTAAAGTTGTTTATTAAAGTAATTCAAATAGATGTTTGAGTTTTTAAACTTAACTAAATCACATTCAACAGGTAATAAAATAATTTATTTTGTAGTAAATAAATAAACTCAATTAAATATATGAAAGTGCTTCAGTGAAATATCAGACGGTATGACCCACTTGGATAAGCTACATTACATCACCGTTCGTCGACACCGAACAGGTGATCTGCTGCGCACAGCCAATGTTTGTTGGTCTGTCTTGTCCGTAAGGGAGAAACATCTAATCAGAATCACAGAACTCAATCTTATCTGAGACATGTACACATACTGTATTACCCATTCGTAACACTTGCAGTTATTGTAATGAATTCGCTAATAAAAAAAACTGACAACAGATGGATAGAATGCAGTTATAGGCCTAAATGTTATTTAGAAGCTACACTAAAAACAATGAGTAGCATTGCCAAGAGTATGAAACAGCCCCATTTGAGTCTTTGCCAACAAATTCATGACCCTTATGTTAACTTTTTTTTTTTTTTTTTTTTACATTTGTCCCTTATTAACAATCTACAGCTGAAAATGTGTTGTTTTCTAAATCACAACCCAACATAATTAGTTCAAAACACCTGCACCACAGGAGGTTGGTGGCACCTTAATTGGGGAGGACAGGCTCGTGGTAATGGCTGGAGTGGAATGGTATCAAATACGTCAAATACATGGTTTGATGCCATTCCATTTACTCCGTTCCAGCCATTTATGAGCCGTCCTCCCCTCAGCAGCCTCCACTGACCTGCACCTCAAGCTACCTGGTATGAGGAAACCTTAAACCATGAGATATGGGAATATTTGTTTTATGTAAAGATGCAATTTCCCTGTAGAAATGGGCAAGGTCATGCTATCATTTTGACACAGGGCTGCTATTAGTAATACATAAATCAACGGACATATCTTTACACTTAGAGCAGGATTAACCCCAAATTAGTTATCTAAATAAAAAGAGAAATACAAAGCCAAACAGTCATGCACCCTCCCTCCCGCCCCACTCACTCCCGTCCCCTCTCACGGTTGTGGACAGGTATGGTTTGTTTGCAGTTTGGACAGGCTTGGTGGTGGCTGGAGCCAGGCAGCCCCACAGGGTGCTCAGTGGTGGCGATCAGCAGGGTATCCAGGGTGATCTCTGTGCATTTGGCTATGAAGCGGATGAAGGGGCGGACGTCGCCTTCGTTGGCAGTGTCCAGGACGGCGTAGTACTCTGACCTTTGCTCTTTGCGGATGGTGATGGGTGGGTAGCGTGCCTGCATGAGCACCAGGTTCATTAGCAGCCGTGATGTACGTCCGTTCCCGTCCACAAAGGGGTGCACGTACACCAGCTTATAGTGCGCAAGCGCTGCATACTCCACGGGGTGCAGCTGTAGGGCCTCCTCTGAGTTGAGCCACTGCACCAGGTCCTGCATGTGGCGCTCCAGGTCCTGGGGGTGGGGTGGGATGTGGTGGCCTACAAACACCTGGCTGGTACGCAGCCGCCCACCCTCCACAGGGTCTGTATAGCCCAGCACGCGCCGGTGGATCTCCAGGATGTCATTGACAGTGATGGCCCCAGCTCGGGACAGCAGCGTGGTGTTGATGTACTTCATGGCCGCGTCCACACCGATGACCTCGTTCTGCTCCTGCAGGCTCTTGCCGGGTACGGCGTAGCGAGTCTCAATGATATGGCGGATCTCAGACAGAGTGAGTGTGTTGCCCTCTATGGCCACTGTGTGGTAGATGTGGTGGTAGTATGTTTCCTCCATGACACGTCTAAGAGCAGAGTTACCTTTGGGGATGGACATCAGCCTGCGTACTTTGCTGTCGATAACCCCAAAGTGGCGTTGGTCGATTTCCTCCACCAGGGGGAGTGTGCGGTCACGGCTCACCAGGGCCCTCTCGTTGCATGGTGAGATGGCCAGGGCCTTGGTATACAGATGGTCCGCCTGGACAACGTCCTTCTCTTCCAGAATGGTCCCCAGCTCCGTCAGAGCTTCCACAAAGTCTGGGTTCATGTTGAGTGCATGCACCAACAGCTTGTGGGCCTTCTCTCTCTTCCCCTGCTTCTTCATCTCCACAGCCTGTTGCAGGGCTGCCTTGGCCTCCAGCTGGGTCTCTGCAATCAGCACACACCAAATACATTGCATAACCAGGCTGTGCTGTCCAAGACATGTATTAACCCATTCAAAAAAGGTGATTTCATATATATTTGTACTTTTAAATATGAATCATGAACCGAAGAGTATGGAGGGTGTTATCCTCCCACCCTTAATACACTCTGGAAATGAATTATCCCTATTAGCTGACAGTTGTATTTTCTTTTTGAACAGTGCACTACCACCAACCATTGATTTAGTTCTTACAACCAGAAGTATATTTCATGACAGCTTCACACTTACCTATACTGGGCTTGGCCCTAAGGGGCAGGAGATCAAGGGCTGTAAAGGGGACAGTGAGGCTGGTGGACTGGACAGTGGGGCGCTGAGTTTTACCCCACAGCTGGCAGTGCAACTGGGCAATCCCCTTTAGAGTGGCACAGCATTGGTCCTCCACCCCCACCATGGGCATCAACAGCGCCACCAGAGAGCCCAGGAACAGGCAGAGCAGCGGTCCCCATCCACCAAGGAGATGGCCACTTGTGTAACGCCACCACACCGTTAATGCAGCCATCATCACTGATGATAGTATCCTCCATTCTCAAGTGACACGTCCCCCATCTATTCGAGTTGGGCTAGTCGAGGAACAGCTGTGTAGAAGAGAGGCAGAAGCAATTTTCACACAGAATTGATGGTCGTTTCATTTTGACAACTGTGTGCATGTCAAACGAAAAACTGCGGAGGCAGTCTTTAGCTAACGTAGAGCTAAAATGTGTTAAATTGAGTAGCTAAATTAGTAAGCCTAACTAGCTATATGGCTAAATATAAATCACAGGATACATAGCTAGCTACTGGCAGTATTTTCGACAAGCTAGGCTAGTACTGCAAAGATGGCACTGACAGCTGTTAGCTAGCTAGCAAAGCATCTTCATCAGCGTACTCACCATATTACACCATTCTTGACTAGAAATCAAACAACAAGCTACGTATAAATGTTAAATAAAAGTATCAGTCTCTAAGTAACCACTATCGTTTGTAGACTAAATATACATTAAGTAGCTAAAGCGCGGCTTCGCTAGCTATGAACGTCTTGTAAATACACATCATCAACTTCCTGGGAAAACAGGCCTGGTATATATGCTGGAATATGATTGGTCACAACAAGATTGTTCCTTGCTGTTCATTGGCTCAGATCTCCCAAGCATGCTTTTATTCAGCAAAACAAACACCGGGTCGTAGCCGTCGTTGATTGGATGTTTACTGCAGTACTGTACAAATTGTGCTCTCTTTGCCTGATGAAAATGTAGGCCTATTACCTATTAACCAGAGTTAACAGTATATAATGTAATAACTGTCAGGTTATTATGACAATAGAATTTGGTGAGTAAATCGTTATGCATTGATTAAATAGGTCGACCTGTATTGTATAAGCAGCAACCTAGCCTAGCCTGCAGCCTATGTTGACAGTCAGCACTGAATAACTAACTTGGTGATCATGCAACACTTCTAACACTACTCCTAAATTGCAAATTGGCCTATAGATATTCCCATTTTATTTTACCATGAGAGTCAGTGCTGAGAAGCATCCTCTACCAGTTTGAGCATGTGGGTAATAGGGTCATTTCACTAAATGAGTCCCTTTTGGGTATTGTAACCCCTGTAAAAGAAACTGTTTTATTTCACCACATTTTTATATTCTGTCATGAGCACGTGTTCAACTTAATAAAAAACATGTTTTCCCATCTCAAGAGGTTAAATAAAAAAATGACTAAGTACCAAATAAAGTAACACGGTTGACCGTAACAGGGTTGACGATTTCATATTTAATCAGTCTTGAATACCCTTGTGAGAGGGGGAATGGAAGCCCGTTACATGGAGGGGCAATTGAATGCAAGCTTCACCCCAAAAATGTTTATTGTTAAAACATTTCTAGCCTGTCTATCTATGGGTAACAGGGTTGACATGTTTAAAAAACCATATTAAAATTAGAGTTCATTTCACGTAACAGGGTTTACCTTAAAATGAGGGACAGGTTGTTGTTTTTTTTAACCTTAAAATGAATCACTAATCACATGAAATAAATAATAATTTTCAGAAATTACTTTGTCAAAGCAACAAAATAACCAGGGCTTTACAATGATGGTGAAAACGTGGAGAAATGTTGGGGTTAAGTGAGTTCAAATCTTCCTAGAAGTCACAGAGAGTACACAGAGGGACATGCCAAAATGCTGAATTTATTGCATTTTCCATGTGGTCTATATTAAAGGACACTTAATTAACAGGCTTTTCAAATGTAAAATTGCTGCACAATTTCTACTTAGAATATCAAAGGGACTAATTTCGTGGAACGACTCAATATCAACTCTCTCAGAGGAGACAACTACTAGCAAAGACATCCTTGCCCCCAGAACACTGGTTAATTACTTTCCATGATCTCCTGATTAATTATAGATCCAGCAGCTATTACAGAGAATTAAAACACATCAGTATTCTGTCCCCTGGCTTCCTGCGAGCTTTGAGATCAACAGTGACAAGGCACAATTGTTTCATGAGCTGGATAGTTCACTCTCTCTAACTCTCACTCAAACATATCCCACGGACAGACACAGTGCCTTAAGAAAGTATTGACTTATTCCACATTTTGTTGTGTTACAGCCTGAATTCAAAATGGATACAATAGATTTTATTTCTCACCCATCTACACACAATACACCATAACGACAGAGTGAAAACATGTTTGTGTCACGGTTTCGGCCGAGGCTGCTCCTCCTCCTGGTTCGGGCAGGCTTCGGCGGTCGTCGTCCCCGGAGTACTAGCTGCCACCGATCTATGTTTCATGTTCGTTTGGTTTTGTCTTGATGTTGTACACCTGTGTCTTGTTAGTCCTCGTTAGTGTCCTATTTAGTTCTCGTTGTGTGTGTTTGTCTTTGTGTGTGATTGCTCTTCTGTTTTGTGTTGGAGCTACGTACTTCCCTCCAGTGTTTTGGAGAGGTTTTTCGCACATGTTAGTGCGCCGTTTGTTTGACGCCTGTGTGCGCCGTTATTTCGCCTTCGGGCTTATTGTGCTTATTTTCTACGTGAATATTGCACTAAAGTCTTTTGGACTGAGCTTCTGCGTCCTGCGCTTGATTCATGCACCACACCCACCTTCAGCACCCCTTGACAGAATCACACACCAAAATGGAATCAGCAGGATCTGCAGTTACGCCTGAGTCGCTCGAGGAGCATGTTCGCGGCCAAGATGACCAGATACGACAACTGGGGACCGCTCTACAGGACGTCATCAACACCCTGCACCGATGGGAGGCCAGCGGGGTACCCACACCTCCACCTACCCTGCCAACCCCATCGGCCGGTCCACCAGTCCCAGGTCCGGAACCCAGGGGGATTCGGCTTTCGCTCCCGAGGGCGTATGACGGAACAGCTGCCGGGTGTCAGGGGTTCCTCCTGCAGGTGGAGCTCTACCTGGCCACTGTACACCCGGTGCCCTCGGGACACGAGAGCGTTTCCGCCCTCATCTCCTGTCTCACGGGCAAGGCGTTGGAGTGGGCTAACGCCGAGTGGAGGAAGATGGACGCCAACACCATCTCCTACGCCGAGTTCTCCCGCCGCTTCAAGGCCGTGTTCGACCATCCACCTGAGGGCAAAGCGGCGGGGGAGCGTCTAGTCCACCTGAGACAGGGGAGGAGGAGCGCACAGGCGTTTGCTCTAGAGTTCCGAACTCTAGCGGCGGACGCAGGGTGGAATGAACGGGCCCTCATCGACCATTTTCGATGTAGCCTACGGGAGGACGTTCAACGTGAGTTGGCCTGCAGGGATACCCATCTCACCTTCGACCAGTTGGTCGATATGTCCATCCGTCTGGACACCCTGCTGCCCACCCGTGGACGTCCCGAGGGGGGTCCGTCCATTCCGCCCTCCAGCACCTCCGAGCCGAGCCCTATGGAGCTCGGGGGTGCCGGCGCTAGAGAAAGGAGGAGGAGGAGCCCGAGGGGGCCTGTCTCCTGCACCAAGTGCGGTCGTGGCACACTGCGGCCAGGTGCTGGGGAGGGTTCTCCGGGGGAGAAGACAACAGGCCACGCACTTGGGGGGCCTCCCAGGTGAGTAGACGTCCCACTTACCCAGAGCTTTCTGTTGCGCACTTTTGTATACCTGTGTGTTTTCCACAGGTTGCACCTCATTCCCAGCATAAGGCGCTAGTAGATTCAGGCGCAGCTGGGAATTTTGTTGATCGGAAGTTTTGTTTAGATTTAGGGATCCCTCTCCTACCTGTTGACAAACCTTTTCCCGTTCATGCCTTAGATAGCCGCCCGTTGGGGTCGGGGTTGATTAGGGAGATCACAGCACCACTTAGGATGTGTGCGCAGGGGGGTCATGAAGAGACTATACAGCTGTATCTGATCGACTCTCCTGCGTACCCGGTGGTGCTGGGAATTCCCTGGTTAAGCACCCATAACCCTGCTATTTCGTGGCAACAGAGGGCTCTCGATGGGTGGTCTGCTCAGTGCGAGGGGCGATGTCTGGGTGTTTCCGTGGGGGCGACTTCGGTGGAAAGTCCAAACCAAGTGCCCGCACTGCACATTCCGCCTGAATATGGGGATTTAGCTCTCGTGTTTAGTAAAACTAGGGCGACGCAGTTGCCTCCTCATAGACAGGGGGATTGTGCGATTGATCTCCAGGCAGGAGCAGCGCTCCCACGGAGCCACATGTATCCTTTGTCTCAAGAGGAGAGAAAAGCTATGGAGACTTACATAGCCGAATCTTTGAGACAGGGATACATTCGGCCCTCCACTTCTCCCGCCTCCTCAAGCTTCTTTTTTGTGAAGAAGAAAGATGGAGGGTTGCGCCCGTGCATTGATTACCGTGGTCTCAATCAGATTACTGTGAAATACAGTTATCCACTCCCTCTGATTGCGACCATGACAGAGTCATTGCATGGAGCGCGGTTTTTCACAAAATTGGATCTCAGGAGCGCGTATAACTTGGTGCGCATTAGGGAGGGCGACGAATGGAAGACAGCATTTAGTACCACGTCAGGTCATTTCGAATATCTCGTCATGCCATATGGGTTGATGAATGCTCCATCAGTCTTCCAATCCTTCGTAGATTACATTTTCCGGGATATGCAGGGACAAGGGGTGGTCGTGTACATTGATGACATTCTGGTGTACTCGTCTACCCGAGCCGAGCATATAACCCTGGTGCGTCGTGTATTGAGGAGGCTGTTGGAGCACGACCTATATGTCAAGGCAGAGAAATGTCTGTTTTTTCCAGGAGTCGGTCTCCTTTTTGGGTTATCGGTTGTCCGCGTCAGGGGTGAGAATGGAGGTGGATCGTGTGTCCGCTGTGCGTAATTGGCAAACTCCAACCACTGTAAAAGAGGTGCAGCAGTTCTTGGGCTTTGCGAATTACTACCGGAGGTTTATCCGGGGTTTTGGACAGGTGGCAGCTCCCATCACGTCCCTTCTGAAAGGGGGTCCGGTGCGCCTGCAGTGGTCAGCTGATGCGGACAGGGCCTTTAGGAGACTGAAGGACCTGTTTACGTCGGCTCCGGTGCTGGCGCATTCGGATCCCGCATTACCCTTTCAGGTTGAGGTAGACGCGTCTGAGGCTGGTATAGGGGCCGTTCTCTCTCAACGGTCCGGCACGCCACCTAAACTCCGCCCCTGTGCTTTTTACTCAAAAAAGCTCAGCCCGGCGGAGCGTAACTATGACGTTGGGGACAGGGAGCTGTTAGCTGTAGTTCAAGCCCTTAAGGTGTGGAGGCATTGGCTTGAGGGGGCTCAACACCCTTTCCTCATTTTGACTGACCATCGGAACCTGGAGTACATCCGGGCAGCGAGGAGACTGAACCCTCGCCAGGCTCGATGGAGTATGTTTCTCACCAGGTTCGTATTTAAAATCACGTACATCCCTGGGTCCCAGAATGGTAAGGCAGATGCGCTGTCCCGGCGGTATGACACGGAGGAGAGGTCCGTTGAGCCTACTCCCATACTACCGGAGTCTTGCCTTGTGGCACCGGTGGTGTGGGATGTCGATGCCGAAATCGAGCGAGCGTTGCGTACCGACCCCAGCCCTCCACAGTGTCCTGAGGGTCGGAAATACGTTCCGCTCGAGATTCGGG